TCTCAAGGTCCTCATCTTAATCATATCTTCAAAGTTCCTTTTGCCATGTAAGGGGACACACTCACAGGTTCTGGGGTCTGAGACATAGACACCTTTGGTGTGTGTGTGTGTGTGTGTGTCCCTCAGAAGTGACATAACAGATCCTTGGCAGTTTGTTGAAGAACAAGGTAGTATTTACAATGTACTAACAATCGATTTCATAAGAAGGAAGAACTGTTATGTGGAAATATCAGAGAAGCCCCTTCTTCTTCTCTGCCATGTTGTGATGCAGTCAGGGAGAATCTTTCCAGATAACAGTGCCAGGCTGTCTGAACATACCGAGAGTCATGAGCTAAATACACCTCTTTATAAGTTACCCAGCCTCAAATATTTTGTTACAACAGCACAAAACAGAGGAACACACCAATGAATAGCAATTTGGGGGCAGGGGGTAACCAGGGCCAGGGCTCCCATAACAACAGGGCTAGTCTTCCAGGAAAATTCTTATGTTTGAAAAGTCACCACCACCAGCCACCACCAATGCCAGTTCTACCATCCTCACAGTCACCACCACATGTATCACAGGTGTGGCTCAGCAGTTGAAGCACTTTGCATTCTCAATGTGTAACACTGATCTATTTGAGATCACTTCCCCAATGCCATATTTTAAATATAACTTAATTTTGCTGGACTCTAAAATCCAAGTAATACAACATTAATCATTAGTATGATCTAATTAAGTCAGTAATTTTTCTCTAAGAAAACAGTTTTTCTAGAATGCTTCCTTAAAACGCTAAGCCTTTGGGGCTGGGGCTGTAGCTCAGTGGCATGTTTCTACATGATTTCAACCAATCCCAGAGCCTTCATACAACTAACCTGACTGATGAGAACCTATTTCAAATATCAATTGTGCTGAATTAAAAGCCATTAATTCTATTATTTAAAATTCATTCTATGAAGAGATTATCATTTTAAGTAATCTAATTTTTCTGACTATAGCTTTCCTGTGAATTGGGAATATTGTGATATCTGATAATGTCATCATATATTATCTTCTTTTAGCCAAGCAATTATAATAAACAAAATGTTTTGCCATTGGATTCAGTAACAAAGTAATCCTCACTCTACTATGCCTTAAAAGCACATTTAATTCTACTTTTCTTGTTTTGATTGGACATAAACTGAATAAAGGCAAATGTCACAGTAGGGCAGTACACATAGCAATCAAATTGTGATTATTACTGCATCTGTGCAATCTGCAGTGTGCTGAGCAGAATGTTAAGTGCTCTGATATTAGGTCTTTGGCACAAACACTCATTTCTGGCAGCACAGAGAACCTCCAATTTACAACAGTTTGACCACAGATAAAAGGGATTACTATATATATATATATACATATATATATGTATATATATATATATATACACACACACACACACATACACACACACACACATACAGTGTCTTTAAACAGTAACACAGAGAACAAGATTCTATATTGACTCATTAACATGGAACTTGTGTCCAATAGCACTATAACCTCATACCTAAGCAGTTAATCTAACATAGGTAATTTACCTTTTCTTTTGGCACTGGAGATTGAACTCAGGGGTGTTATACCACTGAGCCATATCCCCAGAATTTTGTATTTCTTATTTTGAGACAGGCTCTTGCTAAGTTGCTGAGGCTGGTTTCCAACTTGCCATTCTACTGCCTTAGCCTCCTGCATTGCTGGGATTACAGGGCCATGCCACTGCATCTGGCAAACGTAAGTATTTTCTCTGTAAGGCACATCACTGTGTTCCTTGTGCTTAAGATCACTAGACAGCATTTCAGCACTATGCTTAGGGGTCATTTTAGATAGCAACATCATCAACAAAAAGTTCACAAAGAGAAAAACAATTTCCTACATTGACCAGAAGGATGTTTGTTTACCACATGAGAGCTGAAAAAAGAAAGTTACAGCAAAACATCAACCCATCAGCACAGGGTGATCTTAAGTTTTTGTTGTTGTCTGGACATGGGTTTATCTGCTCATGATAACAAAACTGATACTAATATTGATTTGGGGGGGGTCACAAATAAGTTTTGGTGAGTAGGTGAATTTGCAACTATGGAATTTGTGAATGATAAAAAGCTGTATTTTAAGTGAGATAACACATTATCACATAGACATACAAGAATAAATCATAATAATTCATCTAAAAAGTTTAGTTCATTGGAGGAGGAGTGGTGAGAAAGATGAGGCAGAAGATATTTCATTTTGAAATCACATTGGCTTATGAGTATAATTTTAAATGGGAATACTATTTTTTATTTGGAATCCAAAATGGGACATGTATATTTGAAAATTAATATTTGTAGACAAAACTAGAGCTTCTATAAAGCTTAACAAAAATTTCTCGCCTGTATCAACCCACGAAATAAATTTCAAACAGCGTGGAATAAGAAGCTGAAATCTCATAATACAGATTTTATATTTTTAACTCTCCCACCCTCAGAAGCATTCATCATTCACAAACATTCTAGAAGCTTGAGGTTATAATTAGAATAAATTTCTCAAATTATTAATTGTATGCAAGTTGGAACACACACAAATGCAGCTGGAGACATGAACATAGGTATATTTCACATTCCATTTTCAAGTTGTCTTGCAGAGCTATGATTTTCCCCTAATAAAGTGATAAAAATCAAAGCTAAATCAAATACAGTACCATCTTTCCAATTCTCAAATAGGGCAAAATAAATGTAATTGCCTTGTTAGGAATATAAAGGGAAAGAAGCATGCCTGTGAAATTTCAAAATATTTAAAAAACACAAATTGGGCATTTCCATAGCAACTTGTAACAGAGTTCTTAGACCTTTGAAGTCTGGTGAAGATCTTCAAGGATATGTCTTTTTTTTTTTTGTTGCCTCATGTAGAATAATTCAATAAGAGTGACTGCTCTGTCGGAGCATTTATTTTTATTTCCAGGTCTTTCCATCAAAAATTTTAACTAAAATACCCAGAAGTCCTCATTTAAAACCGCCCCCCCCAAAAAAAAAAATCAGCAGTATAAGACTAGGCAATAAAAGGCAAAGATATCTTGTCAAACTTACCTAAGAAGGCAGTCAGTGGTACAACCTGAGGAAACAAGATTCTCTTTAGGACTTTTTCAGTATAACTACATTAATAAGTCTTCTTGTTCAATTTACAGCAAAGCAAGTTAAGTGTTCTGAGAACTAGGCAAGGTCTGTGGAGGAAAGTATTCTTTAATTTAAATCTCATTGATAACACTTGGGCATTTTGCAGACATTCCTTTTGTTTTTATTTTTTATATCAGTCAGGTCTTGTGGTTCCTATGGATATCAATCAATTACTATCAAAATACTTTCATACATCCTTCTTAATTGGGATTGTGAAAAGACAGGTAAAACAGACATGAAAGTCAGGCATTCTGAGCATGGGGGATGAAGGATCATCTTTTGTGGAAGTCATCCTTTTTTTCCAGGGGTGATCCCTATGACCAGACTGTGAGCAACTTTGGGTTGACCCTAAATTCTACAATCTTAAAAGTATATTTTGAAAACATGAATCTTATAACATTTCCAATAAATATATTCAATAATATCTTCTTGGTGGTATGAGCAGCATAATAGAATTTGTCTTGGTAGCATAAACTAATACACCTAATGAACACAACTATTTTTCATCTGACAACAAAAATGTTCAAAACATAATAATGCAATATCAACGAGAGAATTTTAATTATGGCATGAAGTTCACAATTTCCTAGTAATTCCTTTTGCTTTTAGACTGTATCACACTAAGGCTTTGCAATCATGGTAATTTGTTCCAGTCACCCAATGACATTGTCTCTGTGGCTGTTAGTCCTCAGCTGACATCAGTTTGGTTCAGTTGTTTTCATTTTGCTTTGTTTGCTGGCGTTCTAGCCACTAACAGTTCTAAGCTCTTAGAATGTTATGGCTTTCAGCTGCTCATGGAGACAAGGGTCTACTTGGTGATTATGGAAAACACTTGAATAGCTCAGTCTCTGAACTGCACAACTTCACTTGCAATTATGTGACCTGTAATCCCAGTGGATCGGGAAGCTGACACAGGAAGATGGCGAGTTCAAAGCCAGCCTCAGCAATGGTGAGGCGCTAAGCACTCATTAAGACCCTGTCTCTAAATAAAATATGGGGATATGGCTCATTAGTCAAGTGACCATGAGTTCAATCCCAAGTACCCACCCCTACCAAAAAAAAAAAAAAAAAAAAAGATGGTATAACAAGGTTTCTTAGAATCAGGTCCAAATATTATCTCAAGGAAAATTTATAATCTTCTCAAATTTATCTGCCAAACTTATTCCTAAATATTCAACCATAATTAATTTTATCATGGTTCCAAATTAAGCAAAAAATTGGAGTCATAACTTCTGTTACCTGTCAAGTTTTCCTATGTTAAGTCTCTTTCACAAGCCCACTAGAATACTTTATCCTTCTAAATAAATGTTTAAAATCACCTTCATAATATTAACAGCCCTTCTAGTTTTCTATCTTTGGCTAAGTAAACTTAATGCCTAAAAATTTCTACTTTAGGCTCTAGTAGTAAATAGTGTCATATTCTGTATTCCAGAGTTCTTAAATAGAAAATGGAATGCATAGGTGTTTGTTTTTTTCCCCCCTTTGGTGGTACATGGGATTAAACCCAGGCAGAGCCTAGCACATATAAGACAAGCAAAGTGCTCTATCACTTCCAGTTCATTCGTTCGTTCATTTGTTCATTCATTCATTTATTTATTTATTCTTAATTTTCAGACAGGATCTTGCTAAGTTGCCCAGGCTGGGTGCAAACTTTTGATTCTCCTGCCTCATCCTCCTGAGTAACTGGAATTACAGGTATGTGATACTGTACCCAGTAGAATGTACACTTAAACTTAAATCTGTAATTCTGCCCCTATGCAAAATACTAAGAATCATCTCACTATATCCTTTTATTTTACAAAACTTTAATGTGTGGGACTTTTTTGTACAATTTGACATCATTCGTTATCGGATCCCATTCTCTAAACACCTCTAACAAGTTGTAATTTTATGAACGGGGACAGATTTCATTCTCATACTCTTTCACAATTAAGCATACTACATTTCTAGTACTTCAAAGATTTTAATTATTGTCAAATGTATCTGGATTATAGCTTAACCCATACATTTTCAGAGAGTTCATGATTTTTATATAAAGGCAAATTAAATAATACCTAAATATTTAAACTTAATACATTAAAGTCATAATGATACAATCATTTCAAAATTATTGGAAAATATGTCATTTTCTTGAAATGAACTTGGCATAGAAGGCAGCAAAGAGGTCTTTATACGGAGTATCTGAATTGGACTTGGTCAACGGTATTCGGCAAAATTGGCGAAATCTAGGAGAACGCAGCAGCAAGTTCTGTGAAAGGCCCATGAAGCTGGAGCACAGCCAGTAGAGAACAATTGACTAAAAAGAGAGAACATGGATATTAGTGCTTGTCCATTCTTGAAGAATACAAAGTCCAGAGACAAAAAAGCAATAAAAAAGAAAATAAATCTCTAAATGAAAGTACACTGGGACCAAGTTAACATGTGCAGTTATTATATATTGTGAGGGATCTAATAAGAGAGTAAGTTGAAAGGAAAACCAAAAGCAAAAAGAAGTATTTTTGGTATCAAGTGGATGGCGGAAAGCAGTTGTCAGGTGAGGCCCAGGAGTGATCTCACCCCCACTTTGACAATTAAGCATATTTTTCTCCACCAAAGGTTCTGACAAACTGATTATATATTGAGGGTGGAATACGAAAAATGGGGCTGTGGCCATTTGTGATAGCAATATTAAGACTCCCTAGACCTTATTTTCCCCCATGTACTCATTTATCTTCCCCAAATATTTCCCATAACCAGTGTTTCAGAGGAGTCAGGAATGCATTATCTCTGCCTTCTTGAGAGAGCTTCAGCATTAGCTGCATCTTTCTTTTTTGTTATCATCCAGACTGTTTATTTAGGTCAATGACCAAGTTCTACAGCCTCTCAAAACACTCCTATACAACACATCTGTCCCAAACTTTTGTCATTGGGTCAGGATCCACAAGCAAAACCATGTGGTTGTTCAGTACTGGTTGTAGAGACAAATGCCTTAGTTTGATCCTATTTGCTACTTATCTGACTTTTCATAAGTTATTTTCCTTCGTTTCAGTTATTTCACCTAAAATAGGCCAGAAACTAATGCACCTCAAAAGACTGCTTTGAGGAATAAATGAGATATTTCATATAGTTGGTAATAAGCACAGTATATGGCCTATGTTAAGCACTTGCATCTGTTCCAAAATAAATCTTTCAGGGCAGAATACAAAATGTCATCAAAGGTAGATTAGCATAGCAGTTAAGAGCAACAGCCAAACAGCCTGGATGTGTGGTAAGACTCAGCATAAGTAGGTAAAAACTTGGGAGTTATTTAACCTACTTGTGCCTCAGTTTCCTCAGCACCAAAGTAGAGATTAAAAGAGTACCTACCTCATTGCACTTTTGGGAGAATTAAATGAGGTAATGTACCTAAACCATTTTACAGTGCTTGGCACAAAAGTCAACACTGAATAAACATTAGCTATCATCATCTGACTTATCCATCAACCAGAAAACCACCTAAGCCTAACCTCGTTGACTATAATTTTTCATGTAAATATCAATCCCTCTTCTTCCTGAGCAACAAAATCCAGATTTTTCAGTTGGGTATGCTGCCATCTGGAGGGGGAGAGGGTCTATACATACTTCCCAGTCTCTTCAGCAGTCAAGTGTGGCCACACAATTAAGATATAAACACAATAGTTTGGTGGGATAGCTGGCAATGCTTATTAAAAGGAGTTGATTGTATTTAAAGCAGCAAGATAGCAAGCTCTAGAAGTCATCGTGGTCATCCTGTAGCCTTAGGGAGAGAAATCACAGACTATGGATGTTGGAGCAGAGATAGGCAGGCACATTTGTAATCCCAGTGACTTAGGAAGCTGAGTCAGAAGGATAGCAAGTTCAAGACCAGTCTCAGCAACTTAGGAGAGTCTGTCTCAAAAAATTTTACAAAAAGGATTTAAGATTGGATGCTGTGGTAAAGCACCCCTAAGTTTAAGCTCCAGTACCACAAAAGAAAAAAAAAAAAAAGAGAAGCAGGTGGGTCTCCACTGTCTTCAGAAGTTGGCACATCATCCCTAAACTACCTAACTCTTGGATTCCTATGTTTGACAGAATAAGCTTTGGTACTCAAGACACTATTTTTTAGATGTGTTACTCTGAATCTGGTCCTTCACTGAAACTTCATTGCTCCTATTTTATTTCATTAGGGGGAGTTTCTCTGATTGAACTGGTATTGTTTATTCCCATAAATGCAATGAAATTTGTACTATTCTTTCTACTTTTATGGGATATTTTATAATACTACCATTATATAAAAAGTACTACACTAGGTACTTGATGCTTTTTCAGTAATTCTCATAGACATTATGATGTGTATCTCAGAGATGAGGAACCTTACTTATTTTGCACAGGATTAAAGACAGAATTATATTCATGTGATAGCTTAAAAAACACATTTTTGATATAAAAAACATATTACTCCTAATTTCTAAAACTACTATGAATTACTTAAATATTTGCTGATATAACCCTAACTACTAGCAACAAGTAAATTCTACTTAATGGTTTGTGTTGGCTTTGAGTAAAGATGGAGCTACCTACCACAGCTTTAAAGTATCTGTGGAAAATACACAAAGGACTGAAATAACAACTAATTTCTTTAGTCTGTCTATACAGAAAGAAAAAGTTCAATATATCAACTAATTAAATAGGGCAAATACTATATTTGGTATGATGCAAAATACTTTGCAAGTATAAAAAAACAGAGGCAGGAAAAAGGAGTTTGATTTAGTAGGAGAGTTAAGACATATTTACATAAAAGAAGATTAACCAATCCCAAGAAATGTCCAAATTTCTTAGTGATAGAAATAGAGTAGCTTAGTTATTATACACATTACCATATCAGTAAGAGATCAAGTGGTCAGAGGAAACTCAATAAAAGAGGCAAGATCCCAGTCAGCTTAAGCTCAGGAGAAGATTTAGCATATGATACACACAATGCTGGTGCTTACTCACAGAAGGTACTGTTGCAGCAACTGGAATCATCAATACTGATAGAGCACGGACAAAGTATATAATATACGTCTGAAAACGAGACATTCCAATTTTCTGTAGAGCAAAAATCTGAAGGAGGAGAATATATATATACATACAATGATTAGTACAATGCATATTATATCATGTATATTATACAAAATAACTTAAGCTTTAAGATAACTTTATGTGACTGATCATCTTTCTTAAAAAAAAATCTTAATAATTATGCAGAATTCTTCCTCTACTCTAAGTTGTTCTTTTTTTTTTTTTTCGTGATGATGTTGGGGATTGAACCCAGAGCCTTCAGCATCTGAGGCAAGCACTCTACCCAACTGAGCTACACCCCCAGCCCCAATTATGCAGAATTCTTAAATGGAGCTTAAAGAATCCCTGAAAGACATGAACTGTGTAGAAATCATTGCCTTTATTTGTTGCCACCTAAATATAGTGACTGGTATAGAAAATACATTCAATAGATACCTCATAGATTTGCGACCTGATTACATGGAGTAAAGGGGAGAACCAAGGCTAGGAAAAGTAGTTACGATGTGTGAATTATTTAAGAGGAAGCACAGTGTAATTATCATGACTGCAGAACCAAACTAGCTAGGGTCAGACAGCAGCCCTGCAGTTTTAGTGGCTGAATAACATTGCAACACTTTAAACCTTTCTGTGCCTTTTTCCCCCAGCTCCTTAAAATGGGGTCATTATAGTCAAGGTTAACAATTAAAAGAGTTAATTCACGTACATTGTGTACAAAAATGTCCAGCACATATTGTATATTTAATAAAAACAAGCTTTTTTTTTTTAGAGAGAGTGGGGGGGGGAGAGAGAGAGGGAGGGAGAGAGGAAGAGAGAGAGAGAGAGAGAGAGAGAGAGAGAGAGAGAGAGAGAGAGAGAGAGAGAGAGAGAGAGAGAGAGAGAGAGAGAGA